ATCATAATATCGATACAATATACTATCCATATCTCAAAGTGAATATACCTAAACAGGTATTTAAGTGAACTATATACACTGATAAAAAAGAAAACAACTTATTGTGAAGAACAATATCTTGGACTAAAACACATCATAGTAGAGAATTTTGAGTTGATTTAATGTGATCAATTATACCCATATAGTGTTTCGCATGAGTACGACTTTTCGAAATCGACATTCGACAGATATTTTCACAGTTACATTATAGTTTTTAAATTTTTTTTTATATGAAAAAATATACTATTTAGTGTCTTCCATAAACAGCAATAAAAAAAAAAGAGATCATCTCAAATTCTACAAGAAACAAATCATTCAGAGTTCATTTAGTGTCTTTCTACTTCTAAAATTCGATCAATTTTGCTAAGTATACATTGGTTTGTTGCTAATGACATTGGAATGGAACGCAGTATTGGTATCAAGCGTCAGAATTGTAGATACATACACGAATTCTTTTTCCATTACGATAATACATGTTCACCTTTTTTCATAATTTATTTTCTTGTCTATATATTAAATTACTTCATCATTATGTGTAGAGAAATTTTTATTAAAAATGAATTCTTTTAGTAAAACAATATTGCTTTCTACTTCTGTGATCTGTTCTCAAATACAATAAATTATTCAATCATGATTGAACCAATTGTTCACTCCTATGTTTTTATATAAATTAGCAATTTGAAAAAGTAAAAATATTTTGAAACGTCGAGATCTCATTAATTGCTGGCCGAGTCGGGTGCCGAATACTCGATCGGGTTGTGAACACTAAGCCACATCCCAAGTAACGAGATACTTACACTAAATCAACTAAAATTTCTCATCTTTCATATCATATAGTTCACCTTTGAATAACAAATTCATAACTCCTTCGAGTAAGACTTTGTGTATATATTTCACTTGATTGCTCTGTAAGATATTTTGATTTTTAGGTGTTGATACCAGATATAAAACTATTATGATGTCTATGAAGAGGAAAAAAAAAAGATTTCTAATTTTTGTATTTGTTTATTAATCGTAACTGCTACTTTTTTAATAGCTGCTGGTGATTTAATAGCTCGAGAAGCTGGTGCTTATACATGCGATCCATCAGGTAAAATAAATTAATTTATATATCAACTAAATATTATTTTGTCAGGTGCTTCATTAAATCTCATTCATCGTCGTATTTTATGTGCAGCAACAAAAGAACTAGCTGAACAAATTTCACCATTACTTACACATATTGATTATCCTCATGATTAAAATATAAAACAAAAAAGAAAATAATATAGTTTTTATAATTTAATTCCGATTACTGATTTTGTTTTTTTTTAAATTAATAAATCTTGGTTTTTTTTTATTTTAGATGATAAAATCATATATTATTTTTGTTAGCATCATTATTATTATCAACTTTACCTTTATCACTTCAAATGATACATGTGACACTCCATCACACAACGATTGTCCATCATGTTTGAATATATCAGGTTGTGCTTTTTGTAAAAATGATAAAAAATGTCATCCATATCAGGTTGGACAAAAAGAACCTTGTTCAATATCCGATTTGCAAGTACAAACATGTTTAGGTGACTAAAATAAAATCATTTTATATATTATCATATATTGAAAAATATGTATTTTAGCTACTGCTAAAATATGGATTATTGTTCTCGGTTCAGTTGGTGGTGTTGTTTTAATTGCTGTAGTGATTATTGTATGGTGTATTTGTAAAAAATGTAGACAACGTTCAATATTATCGTTAGTTGATAATAAAAAACAAAATGAATAATTGAAAATATTCTGTCTTATTTTTTTTTAATATATATTTCTAGAGAAAACAAGAGACAAAATGATAATGATCAACGAATGGAAGAACGACGAACTGCAGCTGAAGCTCGGTAAGTATATTGAAGTATATTATTCAATAAAAGACCTATTTGAATGATTAATTAGATCGGCTGAACGAAGTCAAGCAGCTGATGTACTTCGTATGAAATATGGTATGTATTAATTTTTTTGTAAAATACAATCTCAAAGAAGTCTTGACGTATAAAGGGTAGAAATTTTGGATATTCTTCAACAGTGTACATCTTTCGTATGGCAAGTGGATATGTGATTTTCTTGTTCAGAAATGATTAGATATGATGCAGAAAAGCATTTTTAAGGGGAAAAATTTTTTTTGACAAAAAATGCCTGAGGAAGACTTTTGTCATCATTTTTTTCGAGAAAATTCTTTTCTTCAATATTGTTTTGTGTTATATATTATTTGACGCAGTTTAATACACTAATTCCGAATATACTGTTTTTTTTCCAAAGCTAGAAAAACTGGGAAATTTAGATTTTTTTGGAAATTCACTGTACAGTCCAGGAATGTTTGCGCTAGCAGGGATTAGAGATAGTAGAACATTCTGACAAAATTTGAAGATTGGATGTGGATGAATTTCTCATTTTGCGAGACTAGTCATTCGAATGACATTGTAGAAAAAAATCTTATGTTTTTTTTTCATAGAAGTTAAACATACAAATTAAAAAATGTTTTTACCACTGTATAGAGCCCGGCTTGGAGATTCCGAAAATGTACTTGATCTGTCTGTCGAACAGTTTAATTTTGTCAGATATGAATTTTTTCGGTGACGTGACGATTTTCAAGCTAATTTTTGGGCAAGTGATTTTTCATTTTTTTTTCTTTGAGGATTATAACAAAGTTATTTATACTATTAGATAGACTATATTTCGAAGTATATTTCCTTATATTTAAATCTTGAAAAAGCACGATTTTCATTTTTAGTTAAATGTCTGCCTAGATACACACTGTGTCATCCTCTCTATAGACCCTGATAGTCACTATGGCAATCGATCACAGACGGTGATGGGCATCTTGACAATTCTCTTCTTGAGGATGCGAATAACAGTTATATCGTGTTTCACATTTTAATCCCATAGGAATTGTGCTGACAGATTTTTCGATTAATATTTTATGAAATTTTTTTATTTATAGGTCTTCTTAAAAACAAAGAAAGTAATAATGACTATCAACGTATGAGTTAAATAAGAGGATGTTTAATTTTTTTAAAATATTTATTAAAAACAAGCAAATTGAACTTAATTATATATATACATATATGTTGTGAACAGTAAACAGTACGCAATATTTTTCATTGATTTTTTTATTTTGTCGATATCAATTTTTTTTTAAACATATTTTGATGTGATTATATTTCTTTTTGATAATATTTTATGTTGATTTTTATTTAATGATTAAAAAATAAAGAATTTATAAATGAAATTAATCTTTAAATTTTTTTTTTTTTTTTGTTACAGATGATATTTCCTTTAGGTCGTCTCATTATTAAACAATATCATAATCAATGCCGTTCATCATTATTTCGTACTATTGTTTTTATTAATCGACGACAATTAGCAACAGGACAAGAAAAAAAAACTTCTAAATCACAAAAAAATCAGACTCTTGTTCAATCAACAACAGATAATCAAATTGAAGTAGCAACATTTAAAGAAAAAGGTAGAAAATATGTTTTTCTTTTTTTTTTTTTGTTAGCAAAATTTTATCATATTAAAATTCTTTATCATAGCTCAACAAGCTGCTAAAGATACTGGTTACTCTCTTATTGTTATTGCTGGTATTGCAACATTAGGTGGTTTATGTTATTTAGTTTTACATGAACTCTATTCAAGAGAAACACCCAATGGAATTTATAAAGAAGCATCAAAAATGTGTTTAGCTAATACTGAAGTAAATTATATCAAAAAAAAAAACAAAGTTTTCGTTTATTAATATATTTTATAGGTACAAGATGCATTAGGTACACCAATTCTGGTTCATACAACACCACAAATTGGTTCAATGCGTATCAATAATGTTCGGTAAAGACTTTATTTTTTTCAAAATAGAAAATAGAATTTAATAAGATAGTAAAATAAATATTAATTATAACGAGGTTGAAATTATTTATCTTTATATCCGATGTGCTATTGCATTAAAACATATATCTTGCAAAAAAAAGATTGGTATGAAACTTTTACGAAAACGCTTGAATTTGACACATAATAATCTAACGACTTCCTTTAGAATTCAACTGATTCATATTCAGTTGATTTTCCATTTAAAAATATTTCAAAGTTGTTTAAAAAACAAACAAACTTTTTTTTTTTATTTATTCTTAAAGTGCTAAGATATTTAACGAAAAAGGTCATCAAAGTATGGCACTTACATTTTATTTAACGGGTAAAGAACGATCTGGTGTTGTTGGTGTTAAAGTTGAAAAGGTATTTCATTAATATTTTTCCTATTCGAATAAATAATTGTTTTTCTTTTTTTTTTTTTTTTGTTTTTGCTCGCTCTTATAGAATATATCAAATAAATTTGTCTATGAGTATATTCTTGTTCAACTTGATCGACCATGGCGTGGTCGAAATATAATTCAAGTACATCAAAATCTCGATGCATCAAAAACGACACCTCAAACAATAGATTTTTGAACACAAAAAAAAAAAAAAAAAAACTTATTTTTTTTTTGTGTATATAGTTAATTTTTGTTTTTTTTAAATATATTATGTTCTTTTCTCCGTTAATTGTCTTTAATAACATTGCCGAATAGTTGTTATCATAGTTTTTTCTGTTCGAGCATCTTGATCAATATAACTATTATGTTGTAAATCCATATGATTATGTTTCTTCTTTCGACTTGAACGATATCGATGATCAATTATTGGTGTTAATGATCTTCTTGATGGTAGACAATATTTACGATATGTAAATATAATAATAGCAAGTAGTATAATTAATAATGATAATCCAACTAATGCACATAAAATATAAACTATAAATGTAAGAAGTGTTAAACGAGGTGGTGATGGTGATTCTTCTGATGATGAAACACTTGATGAATCATTAAATTTCCAACGAAAACGAAAAAATGAACGACGAAATAATGATGAATTACTTATATTAAAATATGATGGAATTGACCGTGATAATGTTGTTAAAATTGTTTGTTGATTTGGACATGTCGTAGTTGTTCGAACTAAATACAAAAAAAAAAAAAAGATTTATTCGATTGAAATAAAATTCTCATTTAGTTTACGAACTATTTGGACAACTTTCAATAAGAATATCATCAATAGCAAACCAAGTTATTGAAATATTTTTCTTATCTGGTAAATGTCGAATTTCAATTTCAATCTAAAACGAAAGAAAAAGAAAAAAAAACCAAAGTAACATTAATACATGTGCTTTTGTTTTTGTAATATTTAAATAAATTTTTATACACGAAATTCTTCAGTTGCTTTAAATGTAATATTTGCTTGTTGCCAAATTGATTCAATATCATCGGATGTATTACTATTTTCATATTTTAATGCTTTCCATTGACCTAATGATAATATTTCTATTCCATTTTTTTTAATAAGAAAAACTTCTATTTGATCTTGTTCATTTTCAATACTAAATTGAAATGTTAATCGAATATTGAATGAACATGATGAAGTTAAATATAACCATGATGATGTAATGATATCTGTAAAACCCATTTCTTTATCTATATGACTTCCATCAACAGCAACTAAAACTAAAAATTTTTTTTTTTGTTTTAATTAAATATTTTTAATTGATAAAAATAAAAACAAAAATTTATTTTTATACTTTTATCATTTGTTTCATCATCAAGATTTCTTATTTGCCATCGTCGACCTATATTCCAATTACAAGTACCCGAAGAAAATGTACATCGTTGATTATATTGTATAGATGAAACAATTATTATCATTAAATCAATGATATACAAAATCAAACCTTATAAAATAGAATTATAAATATATCGAATTTCATATTTAAAAGATAATTCATACATATTCTCATTGCTTTATTTTTTCGAGAAAAGAAGACGAATAGAATAAATGTTTTAACAATTCAATTAAATGTACAATATGTTTATGTGTACATAGTCGAGCCGGTTATGATCATCAATCGTTTTCTATTGACAAGCGGATCACACAATTAAATCATTTGTTCGGCTTGTTAGCACGACTATCGTTGCAATGTGACGGTGAACAAAAAATAAAGATACAGATTATTTATCCTAAACAACTACATCAATATTTTTATTTGAAGTGATTATTAACAATTTTCTTATTAATCATCATTCGAATAGCAGAAAAAAAACAAAAAATATTGGGCATAACAATCCTTCGTTTATTATCTTATGATAAAAATATATGTTAATCAAAACGAAATAAACATATAAAAATAGACTATTCAGTCAATCAAGTAGATGCTCTCAAATATTGCACCTGTAAATTTTGTTTTTCTGCTTATTTGATCTAGCCCTATACAAGCGTTTTTCTTTTTCATTCATGTGTATCATGGAGGACGATTTTTTTTTTCTGTCCAATAAATATTTTTATAGGCTTATAATTACATGTTATTAAACACATAAAACATAAAACATAAAGTGAAAGGAAAAAAGTATTTGTACTCAGTCATAAACCGATTTTTTGTTTTATAATTTTTGCAAATGTGGGGACGTAGAAAATCACTTGTTCCAAAAGAATTGAATGCAGCAGGTTTGTGTGTTTCTGAGATATATATACATACTAATATTGATTTGTTTTCTATCATAGAAATGAGTACACTTGTCCAAGCTGCTCATGTTAGTGAGGAAGGTAATGTAAATAATCGATATGCAATTACATGTTTCTTGTTTTTCGATTGTTTGTAGAAATTCGACGATTGCACTCAGTATATCGACAATTTTGTATTTTCTAGAAAAGTTTTTAAGTTAAATATTTTGTTTTAATGTAGGATTTTCTTGCACAATATCCATCAGGTCGTCTAGATAAAAAGTCATTTATTGAATATTATGGAAAATTTAATCCAAATGCAGGCGCACAAGATTCATTCGGGTAAAGTTAATAATATAGTGTTTTGTTTGAAATTTAATATAATAATAATAATAATATTTAGACAAATTTTTGACATGATCGATAGTAATAATGATGGAACGATTGATTTTAATGAACTTTTAGTGGTAATAGTTCTAACAAGTCGTCTAAATAATATCGAATCACAACTTTCTTTCGCATTTGATATGTTAGTTATGAAATTCTAATAATAATCTTGTATATATATATATATATATATGTTATTTTTTTTTTTGTTGTCAGGTGGGATGAATCTAATGATGGACGTATTGATCAAAAAGAATTAGCTGATGCCATATCGGCTATAGTC